AAGAAGCTGAGCTGATTTCTGGACTCCCTCGTGTGATTCTTGGGCTGAACCTGACACTATACTCCACTAAAAAATAATGCAGAAGAACTCTGATGTAGAAAATGGAATGGAGAAGGGAATGAAGGTGGAATGAAGAAATCTTGAGAATGATTGTCCAGCTCATTCCAAAGCAACTGAAAATATAAGAACACAAAGTCACTCTCTTACCCTATACTCTTGAAAGTTAGTCTAGTCCATTAAAAAATGATATGTATATCTGTGGAGGAGGAAAGGACCAATCCAAATCAACTTTCCTTATCCTCACATCAATCTAAGTACCTCTGACACCACAGTTTAAGAGGACCACTATCCTAAGAAGAAATCTGAGGCATTTTGAATGGCAAATGTCACATGTATCAACATCAAGGTGCCATGGTTTCAAATATAGCTTACCACATAGCATTAAGTATTTTTGTTTAACAATACCAGATGGAATCTTCTTGGGCATGCAGAACTAGTGTGGTTCTTCCATACTAGCTACTGTGGAATACAGATTTTATTATTATCAACAGATCAATTAACACTGTGATAAATTAGTACAGAGTGGATTAATTATAGCAATGAAAAGTTTGAAATAAATTGAATTCTTGTAATGTGCCTGGATTTCTCTTAACCATAGATTAACAAGAAAGCTTCATTCCCACTCCAAGAATACAATTTTCTGGCTGCTTCAAACTAGTAATATTTTCACCAACATCAATGAAATGGCAATTGTCTGAGTATTGTTCCATTGCTCCTAAAGCAGAGAAAGCAAATCTTTCTTTGGTTTACCAAATAAAGCAAGACTCTAGGGTTAAGGGGAAAAAAGCATAGTCAAGGATCCAGAGATAAAAAGCAAAGGAAGGCAAGCACAGAGCAAGAGGAGGACAATGAATTGGTAATGCAAAAGACCTCAGAAGACAGGATGTGAAGAAGATCAGATTTCTTTCCCGTTAAGGAACAGGAGACTGGTTCTTTCGAATGCATCTTCTTCGTGCACGAGCTTTGGCAATCTCATGTGCTTAGGAGCTAAATAGAGCTCTGATTGTATTATAAGCATTTTCTTATTATAGCAATGGACTTGAGGCTGCATGAAAAAGGATGGGTAATTTTCTAAAACCTGCCCAGAAAGCTACTTTCATAAATAGGATTTTAAAGCATGTCAAAGCCAGATGTAACTATATTATTTGATTATTCCCTCAATAGGATCTTGATTTTAGACTGGGTGTAGTCAGTATCTCCAATTAGGTAGTCTACAGCTTGTTTAGCAGAGACAGCGCTATTGTTTTATTACCCAGAAATCTATTATAGGTTTTATTTTATCAGTAGTATGCTAAGATTACTAAAGTACACAATGAAGCAAGTTTTCCAGTTTTAGATTTCTAAATCATATTTCAAAAATATCAAAGACTTCAACAGCTTTTTGCATAAACTCTTATGTGAGTTCGTAAAACTAAATAATAAGTATGCACTTGTATATGCACAGAATATTAATGTATTAGATTTATATCCTGCCTTTCATTCAGGAGCTCAAGGAGGCATATACAGCTTTTTCTCACTTCTTTTTCCCCCACAAGAAATAATCCTATGAAATAGCTTGAACCGTAAGAGAGCAACTGACCCAAAGTCACCCTGTGAGCTTTTGTGCTTCACTGCTCTCATAAATATACTAAGAGAAAGATAAACAGATTTTTTCAATATTAGCTCCATTTTCTCTTACACTACGGTAAACAGAGAGTTTCATAATTATCTTCATCCTACATGGAATGAAAAGAGTTTTGTGTTTTTCTTCTGTATTTTATTTCTAACAGAGTTTTGCTTCATACTTCATACTGGAGTTAACTGTTAAATCAAGAAGATTTTACACTTTTCCTTTTATTTATGACAGTATTTCCTGTTAACGGGTTTGATCGAAACCTGCATCCAGGTTAACTTATTCAAAGTTTTATTTCTGTAGTTATACATATATAGACAGCAGTTGCTATTTATACTCTCCTTTGAAGTTTTGCCTATCCATTCTTGCTACCCTGAAACAAGACTTCAGTCTATGCAGAAAAGGTTCTCATGGATCTGTGGTTTTTAACTTGTTTTTGCTACTTTATGGGCTTCTTGCACACGCGTAGATTTTTTTAAAAAGTGCCTGGTTTCATAACATGCAGCTGCAAGGCAGAAGTGGAAACCCAGTGGATAACAAGGACCACCTACAATTTGAGTTCTTAAAATTTCGGCATGTAGCAATTTGAAACATGGCTTTTTATTTCTTTCAATGCCACTGATGAAAATACAAACCAAAAGATTTGCCATTTTATGTACCTGATTTGGAGGTTGATTATCTATTGTAAGAGTGGTTTGCAATGTGGCTTCATCTTTGATTAAGGATCAAGGAATCTCTTAATTTTTTTTTTCCTTCAGTTTTTCAGTTTTGCAATCCCTAGTGAAGGAGTAAGCAATCTTTGGGGCTAATGGACATATTTTGAAAGCATGTTACGGATTTTTCACAAGAATCTTATTAAATGAGTATAAAATGGCTGGCATTAGGTACCCAGGGATAAAAACACCCATTTCTGAGTAAGAACATTGTTGAAGTTTTTTTTTACCAGCACCTCTAACCACAGGTCACTCTCAGAAAGCTAGCATTTTGCTTTGCAGCATGCCAGTCCCATTCACGTTTTCCTTTGCCGTTAATTAAGGAAATCTGAAAAGATGGCAGGGGGCGGGTGGAGGAAACTGATGGAGAAGTGTGCAACATCCCTGGACGCTGCACTGCCTACTCTTAAGTTCATTCCATCCTGTTTGCACATCAGTTTGCAACTTTTTCAACGTCTTTATTAATATCATAAGGATTTCCCTGAATATCTTCCCCAATATCTGAATTCTTTTCAATATCTTTTTCCTAATATATAACTTTTTACAAATAGCTGTTCATTTAATAGATTTTTTTCCATGAATATACATTTTTGTACACATATTCCCTATTTTACTGAATCTGTTGTATATTTGCTTGTTCAGAAAAGTTGGCATTACATAATTTTGAGACATATAAATGCCAAAAAACAATGTGTATTCTGTTCACATTCTGTTGCCGGAAATGTACATTTTATATATTTTAAATTCTTCCTATTTCTAGTTTTTGGTATCCACTTTCTGTCTCATCTTTCCAGTTGTAATAAACATGATGATGCAGCTATGTTTGTTGTTCAAAAGTCCGACCTTCCAATATACAAAGCCATGCTTGAAATAATTTCTATAACAAAAGGTGTGTGTGGATAAATGGAGTGGCGTATCCTCCACATTTGGCTTTTCCCTATACAATCTGCTGCTTCAGAGAAGCACTGAAATATTTTGGCAGACTGCTCCTCATAAGGGAAGCCAACTATAAGTGTTCAATTACTCTCACAAGTGTGTTTTTTGTAAATGTTCAATCCTTCCCTATATGTTGTAGGGTATGAATGGGGCAGCCAGAGGAAAGAAGGGGCCACTCATGTTTTGTTTTAATTCTATCCATAATCCTATAGTGCCTATAAAAAAAAAAGGGATTGCTTCAAGAAAACTAGCTATTCATTATTTAAATTTATTATAGCCAACCAACCTCAATGGAATCTAGGTGGTGTACAAAGCCCCCCCCCCAAAAAAATCTATAA